ATGTGCCACACGCAATTTTTTTTTGAGACAGAGTCTTGCTCTGTCACCTAGGCTTGAGTGCAGTGGCACGATCTCGGCTCACTGCAACTGCCGCCTCCCAGGTTCAAGCGATTCTCCTGCCTCAGCCTCCTGAGTAGCTGGGATTACAGGCGCCCACAATAACACCAGGCTAATTTTGTATTTTTAGTAGAGATGGGGTTTCACCATGTTCGCCAGGATGGTTTTGATCTCTGGACCTTGTGATCCGCCTCACAAAGTGCTGGGATTACAGGCGTGAGCCACTGCACCCGGCCCCTACTAATTTTTAAATTAGTTTTTTGTTCAGACAGAGTGTTGCTTTGTTGCCCAGGCTGGTCTCCAACTCCTGGGCTCAAGCAATCCACCTGCCTCAGCCTCCCTGTTACAGGCAGGAGCCACCTCGCCCTGCCAAGCTGGGCTTTTCTCCTATGACCCATCACCCAGAATCTTGTTCAGGTGCAGAAAGGGAAGGAAATCTTCAGACTGGCTCCTTTAGTTAAATGTTTTCAGGCATGTCCTTTAACCTCTCTGATCTCCTGTCAATCCCCACATTGGCCGTAAGCAATAATGGCCATAGCAGCTTCTTGTATGGCACTTGCTGTAGGATGCCCTTGTTCTTTCTTGAAACAGAATCTCCTTATGTTGCCCAGGCTGGTCTCCAACTCCTGGCCTTAAGTGTTCCTCTCACCTTGGCTGTCCAAAGCGCTGGGATTACAGGCAAGATCAGCAGGCCCTGTTCTGAGTGCTTTGCATACATCAACTCATTTGATCCAATCCACAGCCCTGTGAAGTAGGAGCTTTTATATATTATTCCCATTTTACACCTGAGGAAATAGAGGCCCAGTGGGATTTGGTGACTATTCTGATAAAACACATGTGTCCTTGGAGGTGTACATGTCAGTAGATTTCAGCCTGCCCCTTCTACTCTCCTTGTGTTTCCCTGTCTCCCCATGTCTGCTCATGGTCATCCCAAGGGCTGGCTTGGCCCTCTTCCCCAGGAGCTTTGAAAGGCCATAGCATCCCTGCAACCCCATTACTGTTCGTCCTCTATGACCCAACCCTGAGAGCTCCCTCCCCGCCCTATGCTTGGATGACCTCCTTCCCTAGTACTCCCAATCCTGACGCATGAGTTACCCTCCCCTCAGCCCTCCTTCAGGAACTTAGTCTTGGCTGGGCCCCAGGAGGACTAGGCCATGAGTGATTTGTCCTTTCAAACAGCCACACTGCCTGCAGGGCTGAGAGCCAGGAGGCCCCACGAGGCAGAGGAGGCCCAGCCACGTGAGGCGCCTTCCTCTCCTGCTGTCCCAGACCCCGCTGACTCAGAGCCTGGCACTCCTCCCAGGGTTGTGCATGCCAGTATGGGCCGGGTGGGGCTGAGGCAACCCTCACTGTGCCCCTTGGCACCCACACAGACTCCTCCTATGTGGGGAGGGTGGGAAGGCTTCTTACCTTCTGTCCCATAACCAACTGTCTTCTTTGAACAATAGATTGTGAATAATTTCACATCCTGGAACATTCTCCAGGCTTGATTTTCACGGCTGCACAACAGCAGCTTCTCCGTCATTACGCAACTGGCCTCTCTGATCATTTCCAGATTGCTCAGGCCACGCACCTCCTTGTCTAAACTTTGTTGTGCACCACCAGCAGTATCATGGCCTGTGGAGAACAGGGGCTGTGTGCTCCATTCCAAGATCAAGGCTTTGTAGAAATCTTAAGTTTTCTAGATGGTTGTGGGCTGCTGTCAGCAGAAGGGCTCAAGGCAATTAACATACAGCTAATGAACTCCAGAGAGGCTCTTTGATTTTTGAAGAATCTGACTTGACAAGACTGAGACTAATATAGCCTCATCTTTCAACATAAGAGAATCAGAAAACAGGCTGGGTCTGTGACACCTAAATGCTTGCCACCACCACATCCCAGTATGTGGGTTCAGCACTTGACCGCTAACAGATTGCCTTGCTAGATACAGCAATCACATTTTCTGGTTAAGGGAGTGAAATTAACATTTATCAATTTTTTTTTTTTTTTTTTTTTTCAGAGTCTCGTTCTGTTGCCCAGGCAGGAGTGTCGTGGGATGATATTGGCTCACTACAACTTCCGCCTCCTGGGTTCAAGCAATTCTTGAGCCTCAGCGTCCCAAGTAGCTGGGGCTATAGGTGTGCACCACCACATCCGGCTAGTTTTTGTGTTTTTAGTAGAGATGGGGTTTCATCATGTTGGCCATGCTGGTCTCGAACTCCTGGCATCAAGTGATCCACCTCGGCCTCCCAAAGTGCTGGGATTACAGGTGTGAGCCACCGCACCCAGCAACATTTACCAGTTTTGACGAGAATGTGGAGCAACAGAACTCTGGGACACTGTGGATGGGAAGGTAAATTGGTGCAAGGACTTTGGACAACTGTGTGAAAAATACCAGAGTTAAATGTACACATGGTAACCCAGTACACCATTCTTGGGTATATCTCCAGCTCACTTTGTAACAGGCCCAAATAATCCATCGAGGGTAGGATGAATATGTTCTACATCACAATTGTGGTGGGGGTTATACAACTATATATTTGTCAAAACTCACAGAACTGTACACTCAAAAGGGGGAATGTTAGCACTAACTTTGACAGCACATATACTAATAAAAAGGAAGACTTAATTCTACCGCATGTAAGTTTTTATTTCTTTCTTTTTTTTCCCCAAGATGGAATCTTCCTCTGTCACCCAGGCTGGAGTGCAGTGGTGCCATCTTGGCTCACTGTAACCTCCGCCTCCCAGGTTCAAGCGATTCTCCTGCCTCAGCCTCCTGAGTTACTGGGATTACAGGCACGTGCCACCAAGCCCAGCTAATTTTTGTATTTTTAGTGGAGACAGGGTTTCACCGTGTTGGCCAAGCTGGTCTTGAACACCTGACCTCAAATGATCCACTTGCCTCAGCCTCCAAAAGTGCTGGGATTAGGGGTGTAAGCCACTGTGCCCGGACCCAAAAAAAACCCTTAATTTGTAAAATTGTCATTGCAAAAGTTACCAGATGAACAATTTAGACAATGAGGTGGATGAAGATTCTTCCCTCTTCCTCCCAGACACCACTGTTCCCCACACTGGGACTCTGTGCTTATCCCAGCCCCTTGCAGCTCTCTAAGCACGTGAGCTGGCAGCACGTGGCTGCTTGGGACTTCTGCAGGCTGGAATTCCTGCCCCACCCTGTCCAAAGCTAAACAACCTTTAAAACTGGCTGGCAGCCTGGGATTTTAAACTGCCTCTCTGCCTGATCCACTTCCCTTTAGCTCATCCAGGAAGAAAGTTATAGCTTCTCCTGCTGGGGGGAAGGGAGATGAGGCACCTCTGCCTCATCTCCTGAACTTTCCAAGGCAGAGGGGGTCCCAAGTCAGAAACGGAGAGGCAAGCCCACAGCACCCGCTTTCCCAGGCCCGGGCTCCTGCCTCCCTCAGCGGAGATGTCAGCACCAGGGCCTCCTCTTGAGGAAGAGCTGTCTCCTGGCTTGACCAATACTCCCATCTCTCCTGTAAAATGAGCTGAATACCTGCTGGGTAGGCTTAGGAGACATTATATCTAAAAGTGTCTGCAGCATACTAAGTGTTCCATGGCTGCAGCTAAGACTCTGATGGTGAGTTACGTTGGGGACAGATGTGGCCACGGACATCAGCACTTGGCACAAGGCCTGGGTGTTGTAGACACTCAGCCCATGTTTCCTCCTCACCACGTGGCCTGATCCCAGAGTGGGAAGACAACACTCACAGCAGAAGTGAGGTTGCCCAGCCCCCCTGCCTGGCTGCTCTAGGACTAAAGTGGGGAGTGACAAGTGAGGGGGAGACAATCCTGGGCAGGCTGGAATGGCCAGCTGCTCTGTTTACACATCTTCTGTGTGAACTCTGAGCTTCCGAGAGCCGCTTTCCTCTGTGAAACCAGGTTGGAGGGTGGCTTCACCAGACCCCCTAAGCACTCAAGTTGGAGCAGATGGGCCAGCACGCCTGGGGCCCATCCTCTCCCCTCCTCTGTCTCCCTTTCTCAGGGGTCTGCACAGCTATTTTCCCTTTTCTGGGGCAAATCCTCTCACCAAATAAACATTTGCCTTTCCGCGGCCTGCTAGGTGAGAGGGCTTCTGGAGCCTTGAGGTCCCTTCCCTCCCTGAGCACAACCCAGCCCCACGACCAAAACCACATCCAACACCCCCCACCTATTGTGCTTTTGCAGAGGGCTCTGAACCAGGAGTGAAGACCAAGCTCTTGGGCACAAGAAGCTTGAGAACAAGCTACAGACAGGGCAGGTGTCCTCTAGACTCAGTGTGGGGATCTGGAGTCTCCTTTTTCTGCTCTGGTAGGAGATAGCCTCCATTTTCACATCTGCAAAATGGGGGGGTAATCATTGCGTCGCCTACTTCACAAGATAGATGAACTGTCCCAGAAAGTGCTAATCATGCCTGATGTGTGCACTTTGTATCAGACAAAGACAGCATCTTATTTATATAGTCAAAGGAGTCCCTCCCTCACACAGCTCCCATTTGTGTGTGTGGGGCTGTGGGGAGGGTCACTTGCAGCGGTATTCAGGGGATTTCCTCAGAGATCTGGGTTTGGCCTGTGATCCCAAACTGGTCCTTTCCCTTTCGAGGGGATTAGGCTGGGGAGGGCCCAAATCCTAAAAGACCATGCCGTGAGTTATTTAAATTTATCCCGAGGACAATGGGGAGCCATTGATGATCCTTGAGTGATGAGGTCACTCTTGTCTTTTGGGTAGAGTTTAGGAAGGGCAAGCCCAGAAGTGCTTGGGAGGCCAGGTGAGGGGAACAAGGGGTTGAATCCAGAGTCAGTGGCAGGAGTGTCACTGAGAGATGGAAAACATTGGGAGAAGAGGAAACAAGAGCATGAGGGCACCTCTCCAGCAACTCTTTCAGCCTCTGCTGACCTGTCCCCTACCCCAATGCCACCATCAGCAGGGTGCTGGCATCTTGCCCAGGGCCCCACAGGACACAATGCTGGTTTCTCAACTTGCTCAGTGCTTTATTGAACCAAGACCCTAACAGATGACTCAGCAGGGCCTTCAAGCACAGCCCTGCCCCCATCTTGAGATTCAGAATCCAGAGGGTGCTCAGTCCTTGGTTTAGCTGCTTCTGTGACATTTCCTCTTGAATAGTTCCAAACCCTAAGTGTAAAGATTTTTGTCCACATAAACAGACACACATATATTCCTGCTGCAGGCTGTCATGCTCACCAAAACGCTCCCAACTAGTTTGGGTGTGCAAGGCATGGTGCATCCATGACCACCCATCCACCCACATACCCACACACCCACCCACCCATCCATCCATCCATCCATCCATCCAAACTTGCGTCCATCCGCAACAAGACAGCAGCAAGTTCTGACAAGTCAGGCCCCAGGGTTCACAGCAGTAGGGACTGGGCTTCCAGCAGGCTCATGATTCAGGCCTTAGCCCTTGCCCTGGGAGCCCCCAAGGATAGTAACATCCCTTTCTGAGGCAATGAAACTGGGACCAAGTGGGTAACTAATATTTGACAGGGGAACCTAAATAGCCTACGAAAGTGTCCTGAGGTGGGTATAAAGTCAAACGACCAAGCACGCAGGTAACACTGAAACAGGAACAAGTAAGAGCTTCTGTTCAGGCCGGAGGTGCTCATATGGCGGGACAGGAAAGAGAACAAGAGAAAGGAGCAACATGGCAGACATAACATGGTACCTACAGAGGTTAGGGGCAGCTGTGGCCTGGGAGGTGACCAGGGCAGAGAGCTGACTCCCAGGTCAGGAAGGAGTTTAGCTGTGACCCATCCTCGGAGACCAGGGCTCTCCCCCAGCCTCAGCTGACACACATACAAAGGAGCTTTTCAGGACACAGGAAGATGAAGGGTTAACCCTAACAAGGAAAAAAGCTCCTGGAGGACACAAAATCCTGCCTTGAAGCTGGTATGAACCCAGCTTCACTAATTCAACAGACTGGGCTCTTCCAGGGGTGTGGAGGCACCAGGATATGGAAAATGATGGAATGAAACAGGGGAATCGGGGCTGGGGCAGACAGGCAGGACACCCACACCATCTTTCCCAAGGACAGCACCTGAGGCCTCCAGCAGGCCCTCAGCCAAGCAGGCCCGTAGGGCAGCTGGCTCCAGGCCTTGAAAGGCAAGGGAGGTAACAGGACTGACGCAGGTCCCTCACTGGTCCTGCAGCCGGCTACAGAGCTCCCGCCGGCTCCGCTCCCCAGCCCAGCTGCGTGTCTTCAGGCGGAAGGTCTTTAGCTCATCCTTGAAGGCCTCATGGTTCATGGGCCGGTAGTCCTGGGGTTCACAGAAGTTCTAGGGCAGCATAGGAGGGGTCAATGCAGTGGAATGGATAACTTTGGCAGGGACCCAACCCTCCCACCCTGCTTCCCAGGGCTCGGGAATGGCCAAGCCAACCCTCACACAGAGATGGTGGCCTTGCCACCCACGCTACCGGGTGCTGAGGGAAGAACTCCTTGTAGCCGCCTTTCAGGATATACATCTCGGGATAGTAGAGGCTGGGGTAGTCATTGACAGAACGGTCTCGCTCCCTGATGAAACGGCACCTGCGATGGCACGGGCAGGGTGTGGTCAGAGCGGGGCATGCAGTGGCTTGTACATCATGGGACCTATTCCCCACATCCGCTCCTTTGAGGGCCCTGAGAAGCCACAGAAGGCTTTTGAGTGCAGGAATGTAACCGTAAGAACACTTTCAGATCAGTCTTGCTATACAGAAGACGGTGGGGTGGAAGGAAGGACGGAAAATCAAGGGAATGGGCTCTCCATTTCTAGAAGGCAGTTGCACCATCTTTGTTAGCGGTATCTGTGCCTGGACCAGGAAAGGAAAAGAAGGAGAGGAGACAAGTGGGCCACATTCAAGTGATCCATTCAGGTCACTCGTGGATAAGACCCAGTGAGGACCAGTGTCGGGAGAAGGGAGGAGGAGGAGGACCCAAGACTGAAGCCAGTGCCCAGGCCCAGTGCCCGGGTGGAGGTGGGTGCCACGTGCTGGGATGCCTGGAGAAAAGGGGAGGGCAGCAGGGATGAGGTCTCTGTAAGGGGCATCTGGGTGCAGATTCCCAGCACATGGGTGAGGCCAGGCTGGAGAGCCACTAGCAGTGAGATGGACCAGTGGCAACCCAGGAAGAGGTAGGGGTGGGAGGACGGATGGCCAGGCAGAGCAGGAACAGAGACAGAAGGAGCTCAGCTGGGGTGGGGGAGGCCAGGTGCTGTGGATGCCAGCAGAGCAGGTTCCAATGGAAACCTAACAGCACTGAACACTGGAAGGGTCAGGGTCACTGGAGACTGACACGGAGCCCTTAGATTTTGAGAAAGGCAGTGCTAGAGACTTGGAACCAGATTTTCTGGCAGGTGGCGGCAAGGATGGGGGTGCAGACATGAGGCCTGATAGGCAGGACAGTGAGGGAGAAGGGAGGTGGGTACCATGCACAGTGAAGAGGGGCTGAGGTCAGCTCCAGGCCATCAGGTGGGACAGAGGAGTGCCTGGACTCGCACCCCTGGCCATCACAATGGTGCCAGCACATGTAAGCCTGGGCAGGGAAGGCTGGGGCAAACACTAGCTGGCTGGGTGGAACTGGGACTCACATGCGGGGCCCACGCTCAGATGAGAATTCACAGTGGAAAATGAGGATGACTCTCTTGTCCAGGCTACAGGGTGTGATGGGGCTCTGCAACAGGAAGCTCTCGGCATCTCGTTCCAGGGGCAAGTTCACCGCAGTCTGCCAGGGGAGCCAGAGGTCAGGCACAGCCCTGGGCCCCTCCCAGGAGGCAGGCTCCTCCCCCTGCAGTCCCTGTACTCCTCTTACTGGTCAGGAACTCCCCATGAGAGGGGCTACCCGTCCTCCATTCACTCTCTTGGCAGAGCAAGGACCTAAACCAGGTGGGATCTTCAAGGCCTCTCCCCACCTTACCTTGATGTGCCCACCTTCATACTCATAGGGGTATCTGCAGTCCACAATCACAAACTTCTCCACGATGTTGCTGAACTTGCCCATCAACAGGGCCACCATCTGTAGGAGGTCATGGGGGTCGGTCAGGCTGGCAGCTGGCGGGTGGCCCTAGCCTGTCTTCTGGCCTAGTCCATGAAGCCCGTCCCCAGGCAAGGTCAACAACGGAGCTGCAGTCCTAAATGCGCCCAGAAGATAGTGCAATGCTGCTTACCGTTTCTGGTGAGATGTACTTGAGGTCTTGGTGCTTTCCATCGACAGTCTGTAGGAGGAAGGCCTGAAGGGAAAGGAAGGGATGTGGGAGAGAGGAGAAAGTGAAATTGGTAAGACCAGGAGCTTGAAAAGGATGAAGTTTCATTTTCAAGCCCAGAGGCCACACCTGGTTTGGCCTTCAAATTCAGCTCTGGCTCCCATAGCAACTGAGAGGCCCCTCTTGGGTCTGACACCCCGGGAACAACCTTCCAAGGGGAAAGGAAAACGAAAAAGGGAAGTGGAAGAGATGAGCCCCACACTCTGCTCCCTGCCCTCTGCCAAGCCCACAGGTGAGGCATGAGGGGGTTCCAAGCTAGGTATGAGCTTGGAAATAGGATGGAGACACAACAGATGGCTGGAGTGACTTGAGGTAGAGTCAGGGGACCAAGGAGGGTCAGAGGGAGAAGTCTATGTAAGAATAAAGGATAAAAAGACACAAAGGACAACCCATGTGGTGGCTCACGCCTATAATCCCAGCACTTTGGGAGGCCAAGGTGGGTGGAACACCTGAGGTCAGGATTTCAAGACCAGCCTGGCCAACATGGCAAAAACATGTCTCTGCTAAAAAGACAAAAATTAGCTGGGCATGGTGGCACATGCCTGTAATCCCAACTACTTGGGAGGCTGAGGAAAGAGAATTGCTTGAACCCAGGAGATAGAGGTTGCAGTGAGCCGAGATCATGCCACTGCACCCCAGCCTGCAGGATGGGAGCAAGACTCCATCTTAAAAGAAAAAAAAGTGATACAAAGGACAAAGAAAATGGGGGCTCTGGGAGAGAGGGAGGAACCCAAGCAGCCCCTGGGCTAGAGGGTTCCTAGTCAGTAACAGGTCTAGCCCCTCCCCAGGCCTCTTCCATGCCACAGGTACCTTAGAGTAATCTCCAATCAGCTCTCGGTGGTCACTGTCCAGGAGGTTCTCGATCTCATCATGACACAGTGATTTTGAGCGGAGGACTCGGGCTTTCTGGAAAGTGAGTCAGATGGAGGTCAGGGTCGGGGTGGGGCTGCCCCTCAGTGCCCTGTCTGGCTGGTACCCCATTTCCCTGCCATGCCCAGGCTGCCACCTGCCCTCTGCCACAAACTTAGTCAAGGAGTTGGCTGCCCAGGTGTATACCAAAGGGGGCCCAGGAGGAAGGCACTCACAGGTTCCTCAGGCTCCTGCTGCTCCTCCGGAGGGGTCACACTCCGCCTCCGCTTATTCTGCACAGGTGTTTCCCTGTCCTGGGGACGCTCCAGCCTCTTGAGGATGGGCCGGATCACACTGCAGGGCATGGATGGAGAGCGGAAGAGCCGCTGGCACTTGCTGTACATGACGAGGTCCTGGCAGGGACAGCAGATCAGGGATCAGAGTGCCCAGGCCCCTCCCCATCCCTCAAATCCCACCAGAGGGTAGGATGGACCCCATGCCTCCAAATTCGGAGGGGGCCATCCCAGAGGCCCACCTGCTCCTCTTCCTTTTCCAAGGTCTTGACCAGGGGGGCGCTAATGAGGCTCTCCATGCCCGGGGGTACTGCATCATCGTCCTGAGGCCAGATTAGCAAGGACAGGGTCACAGCCACACACACAGGCCAGCCAAACCCCTCCAGTCCCTGAATCCTCCAGCACAGCTTTCCGTCTCCCTGGCAAGCCCCAGGCTGAGGTGAGAAGCTCCCTCTATCCAACCTCCCCTCCACTGTGGCACCAGCCATCTGCTCTTCTCTGATTGGCCAGAGGTTACGCTGTGACTCAGTTACCTCAAATGCTTTTTCTGACACTGGAATGAGGTCACAGTCCTGCCACAGGGGCTCAGCGCTCTCTTCTTTTGGGCAGGCTCAGGGATGGGGAGGTAGGCACCTGGCAGGGCAAGGCTGTTTACCTTTAAGTCACTCTCCAGGATGTCCACAAATCCATCATCTTCCTCAGTATCCCCCTCTGCAGGGGTCAGAGAGAAGCGACCTCGGGCCATGGGGCTGAGCTCCTCTATGTCCATCTTCCGCTCAGGAGTGAGACACTGTCCACATGACAGACACAGACTTAGAGGTGGGGACAGTTTCTGCCCCCATCCTCCTGAGGAAAAGTTCCCAGTGCCTGGGGGTTCAGGCCACCCTCCTCTTCCCCCAGGTTGCCTCCCCAGACTCCTGCCAGGGGCTAGCTCTCTGGATGTACCATCAAGTCGGGGGCTGAGCTGGGCCTCTGGGCAAAGGCTTCCCTGCGGTTGGCCCACTCTGCCAGAGCATGGGCAGAGGTGGGATGTGTGGGTTTCCATGGCATCTTGAAGACAAATCCATCCTGCAGCCAAGATGAGAGAGGAGGGTCCTCACATGCCAGGGAACTACCCCAGCATGCCCCTTCCTCTCCCCCGAGAGCTCTCATCCCGGCCTTCCAGAAGCGCACGTTCTCCTTGTCTTCCCCGGAGCTGCTGGCAGCTCCACCGCCGGCTTTGCCCTTCCTCCAGACGTCGGGTGCCTGGGAGTTGGTGATGTTCCGAAGCACAGGGCTGTGGCCCAGCAGCCTCACCTAGAGAGCCAGGCAGGGCAGCAGGCAGAGGAATGAAGGCTGCACTCTTCCAGCCCCAGCCTAGGCCCTACCTTCTCTATCTCTCCTCCACCTCCTTCCACTTGCCTACCTCTGAAACCCCATCTCCCACAGGCTGCCTGGGGACACCCGGCTGGGAGGTGATCCCTGGATGCCTCCTGCCAATCTACCCCATGCCTGGCCAGCATGTCTAAGCCTCAGTCAGGCCTTGAAGACACTCACCGGCATAGACTGGAAGCGTCTGATGGCAAAATGCTCGCTACAGGAGGAAATGGGGACAGGTGAGGGCTGGGAGAGGCAGGGCAGGGACTGAGAGCATTTGGTATGCTCTTCCAGACCCCTGTATGTCCTGGGGGAAAGCCTATGGTAGATGGAAGAGGCCCGAGAACACTTACTTTCGAATGATCCGGCTGGCTGCCTGGATGGCTTGTTCAAACCTAGGACAGAAAAGGGTCCCATGGAACCTATCCTCCCTTTGCATCCATCACCCTCCCCAGCACCAGGCCCCCAGGCCCCAGCACCAGGTCCCCAGGCTCCAACACCAGGTCCCCAGTCTGGGTCAGTTGAAGGGGTGAGATAGGAAGAATGCCCACCATCAGGGGGCCCAGGTATTGGGGAGGGGGGAGATAAGAGGCAGCCTGGAATTTTAAAGGCTACCCTGATTGAAAGAAAGCCCAGAGAATGACAGTGATAGAGACAGCTGGGGGAGGTCGCAGGGTCTGGGCAGCGTCACCAAGGCAACAGTCTCGCCAGCCTGCACCAGGCCTTCCACCTGTATGCAAATCACCTCAGCGGGGCCATATGGCTGCCAGAAAAGGCATCCATCCAACCTATGATGATAGGCCAGGGGCACCCAGCAATGTGGGTATCTCCAGAACCTGGACACTGGCAAGGTTAGGCTTCCTTCCCCCTGTGAGGAGCTGGCCTGGCTCCTAGTCCTCCCAGGACTGGGGCCTGCTTTAGGGCTCTTCCCTCCTACAGAATTTTCCAGGGACCAGCCTCTGTTCCCACCCCCTCCTCTTGCCTTAGAAGAGGCCAGCAGGCAAGGAATTCCAACACATGTTCCCTCTAAGGCCACTGCATAAGCTTCTGTATATAGGCCCCGCCCTCCCGCCTGTTACAGGAGACCACCTGCCACATGGAGCTTTTGTGCATCTATGTGCACACACACACACACACACACACAGAGCTGCTTTCTGAGAAACTCTGTATAACTGTCAAAGCAGGTGTGGGGCAGGGAACCACTCAGGGATAAAGTGTGAGGGGGATGCCCCCCCTGGGGCTGCTGTGCCCAACCAACTTAGTATCAGGTTGGTTGGGCACAGCAATGACCACTTTCATTGGCTTGCTTTCTGTCTGCACATGGGCCTTGGGGTTAGGGCAAGACTGCTCTGTACTGCCACCAAAACCAACCTGCAGTCCCCCCACCCCACCCATTTCCTGTTTGTGAACCAATCTGCAGCCCAGCCCAGTCTGATCAAAGGCAATGGGAGGTAAGACAAGTCACTGTTCTAAACCCAAAGCCACAGTCCCCAGCACAGGCTAGGGATGCCCAGCTGTCGCTACTAATGGCTGGCAGCTGCCCCACTGCTTGGGCTTTAACAACTGGATGGGAACAGCTGTGCCCTGGAAGACACCTCCCATGCCCACAGCCAAGGAGGGCTGTGTCTGTCCAGGCCAGAGCCCACTAACTTTCTCTCCATTCCCTTGCACAAAGGGCCCAGACCAGGGCCGGCCAGAGGGTCAACTGTCATCAAAGTCAGAGGCTGCTGATGGGCCAAGAGCCAAATCAGTCTGCAGCCAACTGTGTTTTGTTTGGCCTAGAGTGAGTTAAAGTTTTGAATTAGTTGGATCATATTTTTAAATTGTGATATTTCACAGAAAAAAAAATGGGTATTCCGCAAAAACAAACAAACAAAAAACATGGGTATAGACAAGAAGAAAACGGGACATACACTGGACTCGTATTCCTGCAAGACACGTAGTCTCCAGCATCTGCTCTCCCAGTGGCCACTGTCCCCACCATCCCTGTCCCTGAGCCCACTCTTGGTTGGCTCCCATGAGAGCAGATCCTTCTCTGAGACAGGGAGCAGAATCCCAAGGCCCGAGAAGGTCAGTGAGTCCCCCTGCCCACAGAGATCCTGAAGGCACCCCATGGTCTGTCCGCTTTCCCAGGTCTCCCCAGTGAGTTTCTGCTAGAACTGGGATTCTCAAAGGCAGGTGCTGACTGCTGGGTAGTAGTCATTCCCTTCAATACTCACGTCTGCTCCGCCATCTGGGGGTCCACAGGGCTGGGGGAGTCCATGCAGAGACCTAAGGGGATGGAGCACCTTGGTTTGAGAGTTGTGGCGCTTTCTGTATACTTTCCCCCACCATGTCCCAATAAGAAGAAAAAACCCGTTTCTAGTTTGGACTTTGACACATTAGAAAATGAAACAAAAACCCAACCATGGGCCCTGAGGGATGACACATTATCCCCCAAATAGCACAGGACTCCACTCCCTGTTTACTATGAGATGACAGCTTTTCAAAGAAGAGGTTATAGAATAAGAAGTTTCTAAAGACCAACTCTCAGCCCTGAGTGCTTCCCAGGTAGGGCTGTGGTGGAACTTTGGTGCGTTGGTTTTACATAGGTGAGATCTCATCTCCCGTAGAGGGCCCCACCCTCCCACCCACTCAGCCAGTCTGCGTTGGGTGTGGTGAGCCCCACAAGAAGTGTGCCTTCCTCCCATCTCTGTGGAGGGTGGGGGAGCGGCTCCTGGGCCCACCAGGTTGTGGGGAGGATGTTAGTTTGATCGGCAGGGAAATCAGGAGGCCCAGGCAGCCCCAAAATCTCTCCTGGCACCGGCAGACCTCCCCAGGCCCCCCTGGGCCTCACCTGCATCAGAAGATTCAGAGGATTCAGACGACAGGGAGGATTCAGATGCCCTTCGCGACAGGGATAGGCATGTCAGCCGGCTGCGGCTACGGGAGAGTAGGGTTCCTACCTGACTCTCTGGGGTTTCGCTGGGAAGGGAACAGGGACCCAGGAAAGGAGAAAGGTAAATGTGGGGCTCAAGGCTTTGCTGGCCCGCATTCCCACTCCCTCACTGAGAAAAGAACTGAGCGAAACTCTACACCGGGAAAGTGATGGCCCAGAGGGCCCGCCCTCTTCTCAGGTCAAGGCAGGCTCATTCTGCAGAGGCCCCAAAGCAGCTTCTCTTTGTTGACTGGTTTAGGAAAGGTCCTCCCAGGAGCAGGGGAAGGTGAGCCCAGGGTGTGAGCAAGGCAGCCTGGCTGGAGGCCGTCTTAGGGGTTGGTGGTCTAGTAGAGCTGCCCCAGAGGGCCTTCCCCTAAACTGTCAGACCCCCACCTTTCCAGGACACTTCCTGAAGGATGGAACAAGACCAGGTTCTTCTATTGGGACAACCCAGCTCTCCCCTTGCAGAGTTAGGGAGCAGGATCAGTGTAGACTTAATTGCCTTAACTCTGGGCGCAGAACTGGGGTGGAGGAAGCAGGGGCATGGATGTGTGAGTGCTCCATGGCTCTGCCACCCTCAAGTTCCCCATCCAGGCTTGGGATTCCCATCCTGAGGCAAAAATGGTGGCTATTTGGGTAGAGATTAGGGAGGCAGCGTGGTGGAGGCACATTGAGGGAGGAGGGAGTGAGGGGAAAGAAGACTCGGACAGGCTTGTGCGGACCAAGAGCAGGTCACCTGGAGGATGTGGGAGGCACAGCCCAGGTCTCACCTCCAATGTCCTGGGCCCCATAAAGGACAAGGGCGTACCTCTCCACTGCCCGGGACGCCTCCCCCGGACTCCACCTCCTGGATTCGGATACTATGCTCAGTTCTCCGGGAGGCCCAGGACTCCAGTCCGGGCCTCTCACTCCCATATCCAGCCTCCTTGGGGTGACCTACCTGCCGAGCCCGGCGAGGTCGTGCATGGTCTGGGTGAGGGTGGTGACCGGCGAGGAAACGGCCGCGCGCACTGGGGACCGTGGGAGCCCGTGAGGTCCTAGCAGGAGGCCCGGGAGGTGGCCGGGACGCTGGGCGCCACCGCGCACGCCGGCTGGACTGAGAGCCGAGCCTGGCGCGGGCTCGGGCTGGGGCACCTCCATCGCTGCGGGGCCAGCGGAAGGCTGGTTGGAGGGCCAGGCGCAGGGCCTCCAACAGACGCAGGGACAGCTGGCTGGGCCGAGGGAAGCAGCGGGCGCGGGGTGGCTGGGGGGGGGAGGGAGGGAGGGGGGGGGGGGGGGAGGAAGAGCCACAGGGTCGGGCGCGAGGGAGAAGAGGGATGCGGGGAGGGTAGGGTGTGAGGGACGCAGGGCTCAGGCACGAGCCCGGAAAGCCTCTAGTTGCAGCTGCCACTTCCACCTCCTTATATATTCGAAAAATAACAGCGGCCGCGCCGCTGGACGCCACCAATGGGGTAGCGGGTTAGAGGAGGGCGGGATCGAGGGCGGGGCCCGCGGGGCTGGAGGCGCGGAGGCTGGATTTCCAGGCTTTGGGTGGGCCGGAGGAATTAGGGTTTATCCCACACCCCCGCACATCGCCCTGGGGCGAAGATCCTGGCCTCCCGAAATCCTTCTCTCGCGACATGGTTTGGAGTTCCACACTCCAAAGGCGGCAGCAACGCCCTAGGGTGGCCTCCGCAGGACCCCCCGCAGCTTGTGGTCACCTGGGATCACCGCTAGGGACGGGGAGTTTGCTAAACCGGCTCCCGGAAGTTTGCTAAACCCAGCTGCGCTGTGCTGCCTGCGTTAGGTATCCCATTTTACAGACCTGGACGTTGAGGTGTGAAGTTCATTAGCTCGTTCAAGGTCACGCGGTTGGCAGGCGGTGGGCCAGGATTCGCCCAATGCCTGGGCCTCCGACCCCGCAGCCTCCCCGCCCCGCGCCTGGCTGCGCTGAGCAGCAACAAAACGTCATTCGCAGGCGGAGCGCCTAGCGTAGGAGGTGGGAGGGGAGTGGGGCCCCCAAGCGGAACCGACGGGCGCTTTCGGGATACTCCAGGTTAGATGTTACCCCAGCCGGTTCAATTTTCGCGGCAGCCCCAGTAGTCCGGCTAAACGGTGGGACTAGACATGGGTTTCCGCGGCTGGGGGTCGAGGAGGGTGTCAGCGGCCAGAGAAGCGAGTTAAATATGACGCCCCTTGTTGGCTTGGCTAACTTGGTGCCAAAGGCACCATATTATTTAATTGGTGTTTATTTGATGACCAGACCAGAGAGACTGAATTTATCGTTCGTTTAAGCCGAGCATCTTCCAATTATATAAATGCCTTCCAGCCCCGTCCGATTTCCAGGCCTCCTGGAACAGGCGGTCTGAAGGCTGCACCCGAAAGTCAGTGGGTAGTAAGCAGCTTTGGAATTTCGTCTCCCTGGATTAGACGTGGCCTCTGGCTGGGTGGGCGGCGGCGTGGGGGGATGGAAGGGCTGCAGCTCAGGAAGGCAGGAGCGCCCCTTCTCGTGCAGTCCCAGCCACCCGGACCCAAGGCGAATTGGATGAGGGTGGCAAAAGGGAAGGCCTGTAAGATGGGGGGCTGGGTGGGCCAATTCATGTGAAGGGGAAGGGAAGATCCTAGCCCCACCTGAGAAGGGTGGCCAAGGTGGGAACCCTGACCTTTCCTTTTCTCCACATTTTGCTCAGCTCCTGTGCTGTGCGGAGGGCTCTGCAGGTCTGAATTTCTGGTTCATCCTCCCTGGGTCAGGGGTCATGCCCTGGACCTGCAGCCACTACTCCCAGTGAGGATGTGACTGCCCTCAGTGCTAGGATGGAAGGGGGAAGTACCCTTGTGAGGCCACCCACCCCCCCAAACCAGAAATAAAACCACCCCGAGGTTTGCATTTTCAAAATCAGGAATGCCTCCCATCCCCACCCAGCCAACATACATCTGCACAGGGTGTGTGTGTCAGGACAGGCATTATATGTTGAATCCCTTGAAATCCCAAGTCACATCACCTCTGGGCCAGGGGGAGGTGGCAAGACCACAGAGGGGTTTTGGGATTTTATATTTTTTTTTTGTTGTTGTTGCCCTTTTTTTTTTTTTTTTTTTTTTGAGAAAGAGTCTCTGTTGCCCAGGCTGGAGTGCAGTTGTGCGATCTCGGCTCACTGTAACCTCCATCTCCCAGGTTCAAGTGATTCTCCTGCCTCAGTCTCCTGAGTAGCTGGGATTACAGGCAGCTGCCACCATGCCCGGCTAATTTTTATATTTTTAGTAGAGACGGCGTTGGCGAGGCTCTTCTTGAACTCCTGACCTCAGGTGATCCACCCACCTGAGCTTCACAAAGTGTTGGGATTACAGGCATGAGCCACCGCGCCTGGCCCACATACATAATTTAAAACATTGTAGTAGCCGCATTTAAAACAGCAAAAAAGATGGCTCACACCTGTAATCTCAGCACTTTGGGAGGTGGAGGCAGGCAGATCACGAGGTCAGGAGATTGAGACCATCCTGGCCAACATGGTGAAACCCTGTCTCTACTAAAATACAAAAAATTAGCTGGGTGTGGTGGCGTGTACCTGTAGTCCCAGCTACTTGGGAGGCTGAGGCAGGGAAATTGCTTGAACCCAGGAGGTGGAGGTTGCAGTGAGCCAAGATCCCGCCACTGCACTCCAGCCTGGCAACAAAGTGAGACTCTGTCTCAAAAATAAATAAATAAATAAAACAAAAAAGAAAAATGAAATTACTGTAATATTTTATTCAATGTAATGTATCCAAAATATTATTCAACATGTTATTGATATAAAATTATTAATGAGATATTTTACATACTTTCTTGGATACCAAGTCTTCAAACTCTAATGTGCCTTTTACACCCCCAGCACATCTCAGTTTGCACTTGCAACATTTAAAGGGCTCAACAGTGCTGGGCACTGTGGCTCACACCTGTAATCCCAGCAACTTCAGAGTCCGATGCAGGAGAATTGCCTGAGACTAGTAATTCAAGACAAGCGTGGGCAACATGGTGAAATCCTGTCTCTACAAAACATTTTTTAAAAACATAGCTGGGTGTGGTGGCTCCTGCCTGTAATCCAAGTGACTCTGGAGGCTGAGATAGGAGGATAGCTTGAGCCCAGAAGTTTGAGTCTGCAGTGAGCCATAATTGCACCACTGTATTCAAGCCTGGGCAACAGTGAGACCTGGACTCTAAACATAAAAATAACGCCAGAGGTGGTGGCTGATGCCAGTAATCCCAGCTCTTTGGGGGGCTTGGACAGGCGGATTACCTGAGGTCAGGAGTTCGAGACCAGCCTAGTCAACATGGTGAAACCCCATCTCTACTAAAAATACAAAATTAGCCATGTATGGTGGAGCATGCTGTGAAACTCTGTCTCAAAAAAAAAAAAAAATTAAACATAAAAATAATAAATAGTTCAATGGCCACTTGTGGCTAGTGGCTGCAGGTCTGTATCTTTACAAGTGTAAATACATCTGTATTTTAAAGAATATACCAACAGCATGTGAACATTGTTCTAGCGAGGTGGTTCACACCATAATCCCAGCGCTTTGGGAGGCTGAGGTGGGTAGATCACCTGAGGTCAGAAGTTCGAGATCAGCCTGGCCAACATGGCAAAACCCCATCTCTACTAAAATTACAAAGATTAGCAGGACATGGTGGCGTGCACCTGTAATCCCAGCTACTCAGGAGTATGAGATAGGAGAATCGCTTGAACCCGGGAGGCAGAGGTTGCAGTGAGCCAAGATCGTGCCACTGCACTCCAGCCTGGATGACAAAGCAAGTTCTGTCTTAAAAAAAAAAAAAAAAAAAAGCCATAAAACCACTGCTGTATACCTTTCTTCATCTTACTTGGTGATGGATCCATATTAGTACCATAATGGTATATATTTACTCAAGCCCCTAATGCTGAACATTTAGGATATTAGCTTTTACAATGATGCAGTATGTTCTATGTGTCTGTATGCTACCTAGAAGATGAATTCCTAGGGAGGAACTGATGGGAGGTACAGCATTAAGTTTGTTTTCTGTTTTTGTTTTGAGTCTAAGTCTGTCTCTGTCACCCAGGCTGGAGTGCAGTGTTGCAATCTCGGCTCAGTGCAACCTTTGTCTCCTGGGCTCAAGTGATCCTCCCACCTCAGCCTCTCAAGTAGCTGCGACTATAGGCACATGCCACCATGCCTGGCAAATTTTTGTATTTTTTTTTTTTTTTTGAGACGGAGTTTCGCTCTTGTTACCCAGGCTGGAGTGCAATGGCGCGGTCTCGGCTCACCGCAACCTCCGCCTCCTGGGTTCAGGCAATTCTCCTGCCTCAACCTCCTGAGTAGCTGGGATTACAGGCACACGCCACCATGCCCAGCTGATTTTTTGTATTTTTAGTAGAGACGGGGTTTCACCATGTTGACCAGGTTGGCCTCGATCTCTTGACCTCGTGATCCACCCGCCTCGGCCTCCCAAAGTGCTGGGATTACAGGCGTGAGCCACTGCGCCCGGCATATTTTTGTATTTTTTAGAGAGACTGGGTTTCATCTTGTTGCCCAGGCTGGTCTTGAACTCCTGGGCTTAAGCGATCTTAAGACCGCCTCGGTCTCCCAAAGCACTGGGATTACAGGCATGAGCCATCATGCCCAGTAGCATTAGGTATTGAAATCCCCTTTTCCCTTTCTTGAATCTCATCTCCTCAAGCTGACTGGGCTACTGAAAGACAAGGACCATAATCATTTACATCTCTCCCAGGCTCCCAGAACGTTGCATAGGTTCAAGTCCAAAGTTGGCCTCTGACCCTAATATCACACTTCTCAGCATTTCTCTTAAGGAGATGATGTTCATTGAGTTATTGTCTTCAATAGGGGAGGTGGTTCCTCTGTACTGTGCAACACTTGCAACCTTCAAGGAGAATGGGCAGTGGCATGGGGATGCCTGCTTTGTAGGGCTCAATAATTGTTCATTATTGAATGACTACATATTGGGATCCTAGAAAATGGACTTTTGAACAAAGGGTTCCGAGAGTAAAAGAAGTATGGGCGGTGGCTCATGCCTATAATCCCAGAACTTTGAGAGGCCAAGGAAGGAGAATCACTTCAGCTCAGGAGTTTGAGACCAGTCTGGGCAACATGGTGAAACTCCATCTCTACAAAAAATACAAAAATTAGGCTGGGTGTGGTGACGCATGCCTGTAATCCCAGTATTTTGAGATGCCCAGGTGGGTGGATCACCTGAGGTCAGGAGTTTGAAACCAGCCTGGCCAATATGGTGAAACCCCATCTCTACTAAAAATACAAAAATTACCTGGACATAGTGGTGAGTGCTTGTAATCCTAGCTATTTGGGAGGCTGAGGCAGGAGAATTGCTTGAACCCACGAGATGGAGGCTATAGTAAGCTGAGATTGCGCGGTTGCATTCCAGCCTGGCTTACAAGAGTGAAACTCCATCTCAAACAAACAAACAATTAACCAGCTGTGTTGGTGGGAGCCTGTAGTCCCAGCTACCCTGGAGGCTGAGGTGGGAAAGTCACTTGAGCCTGGGAGGCTGAGGCAGCAGTGAAGCAGTGAGCAGTGATATAGCCATTGCACTCCAGGTTGGGTGATAGAGCAAGACCCTGTCTCAAAAAAAAAAAAAAAAAAAAAGTGTGAAACTCATTGATGTAGCTATGTAGCTATTTATTGATGTAGCTATTATGCCAAGTGTGGTCCCATTAAACACAATATGCATGGGAAAATATTCTACAAGGATATTCTTTGAGTGGTAGCAACAAAGTAGATTAAACGTTGTTATCTTGAAACTTTTCTGTATTTTAAGATATTTTTCAAAGAACAGATATAATTTTTAAATTATTATTATTTTAAGATGGAGTCTTGCTCTGTCACCCAGGCTGGAATGCAGTGGAGTGATCTTGGCTTACTGCAACCTCTGTCTCCTGGGTTCAGTAGAGTGATCTTGGCTTACTGCAACCTCCGTCTCCTGGGTT